TTAACTCGATTAACTTCCGTAAAAAAATTCAAAAGTCATAAACAAAGTTTTTCCAGATATAAAACCACAGAAATGGAAGCGGTTGGGGTTTTTCACGACCGTTCGCTGAAAGGCTAATAAATCTGAAACCTATACCGACATTAGACCAACGAGTTCTCGTACTATTTCATGTGTGGACAGTAACACTTGACGTATTTAACTTTCAACAACGTTTCATTACACATCATCTAGGAAATAATAAGAGCAAAAAATTAAATAAGATACACCGGTAACGACCAATCTACCAGCGACCGGGTTGTAACCGATACTGGTTCCATCTCTGATATACACTATTCATAGAAAACGGTCTATATCTTGAACGTTTCATATCTCGAAGAGATTGTGTTCAAAAATTCTGAATTGTTGTATGAAATCTAGTCCAGTCGAGTTCTCTGTATGCGCAAAGTCTCAGAAAACAATTTAGATAGCTTAGTTCAACTTCAATAGAAAATCAAATGCTTTTTGAGTTCTATGTAGTATCAAAAAAATCATTGAATTTCGGAAGGAGAAACTGAAGAGGTTCTCGCGTGAGTCGGTGATCAGTAAACTGAAAGTGTACATGCGCTTTCTAATTGACGATTATTCTTATGTTACACGAATCATTGAATTGGATTCTAATTGTTCTCTTACTCATATTTTATATTGTTGTAATATAATAAGTTTTAATATTTCATCTGAAACTCAAATTCACTCAACATGTTCTCTTACAGAAAACAGGTCTGCTTTTTTTAATGTTCATGTTTGGTATTGTCATATCGTTTTGCAACACATAACTTCCTTGCCTTCTTATCAAGATACTCTTCGGCATTTCTTCTGTTAATCATAATAATATGCAAAACAAAATACACAAGTAGGTTAGACTAAGAAAAACGAATGAAAGGCATAGATATCTTTAAGATACTGTTAGCCTAGCACGAATGAGTCAAATCTGCAAAAGTAAACTTGTCTCAACTTTTACTACTTACCAAAAAACCATTTTGTTAAAGAACAATTGCAACGACTAATTTCTTCTTGTTTTTACCAAAACACCATTTGTCAAAAATTAAAAATACTTTATATATAATCTCGAACTTATTTATTCATTATCATGGATAAGAAATATTGAATTTGAATGATGTGTCATATGCATTGATTTATATAAACGAAAAAGTTTAAATATCAATCAATTTGTTAATTTTTATGCCATGATTGAGATCAAATGACATCTCTTTTTTATCTTCTAAATGAATTGTCTAATGCTGCTAAATATCTGCAATTGAATGAAGACAATATTGTCATCAACTAAGTCTCAAAATCAGTTATATGAATAGTTTAAATATGACATTTAATCGAAAAAAAAGTATTTAGAGTAGTTCCTATTGATTACAATGCGAGACGCAATGAAGCAATTTCCTAGAAAAAAATTATAATCAAAACAAAATGATTACTCTCTTACAGAAGTTTAACAGATCTTAAAACACCCATCCATCAGGTTTGAAGACAAGAAATTAAAAAAAAAAACTCCTCTCTCCCTTTTCTAAGATATTCATGTCACGGTATCTGTTCAAGTTAAGAGAACATTATTAAATTGTCACATTACAAGCAATTTAAACATAACTTCTTCTTTCTCATTCTAGGTCTGAAGCAAAAAGGAAACAATTGATGAGACTTGAAATGAGGCGTGAATTGTTCCTTGGTCTATGAAAATTAATTAGTTTCTATTTATAAATCATAACAATCAACAATAGTACATTTGGAATTAATGAAAAAGTTCCTATTGGCAGTTAATTACAAACTTTTATTTATCTTCAAAAGAAACATAAATGAAAATCAAATGAGAATAATCTTTGAATGAAATTTTTTTCAAGCTACTCAGCTTCAAATATCATGTATTTGTCATTGAACAATCATCCTATATCGTCAGTTAATATATTTAGAAACGTTGGTTATTTATGTGTTACTTCATCTATCCATCCGGTTTTTTTCTTCGCTCGATAGAAACACAGAAGTTCATTGTGATTCAAATCATGAATTATCCATAAATGGTTACTGAGAAATGGAAACAAGACCTTATTCTTTTTCCCTATCGGCAAAAATAGAATTAATGACTATTATAAATTGTGGCAAGCATTTAAATTACAAAAGAACATTGAAACGTTTTAGATAAATTTCAAAAATGTTTTAAAACAAAAATATAACAAGACAAACCGATTGATCAGTATCTTAAGTCTTCGTGATTACGAACATTTTTTCTTAATTGGAGGAAAACAAATGTACACAGTAGAATCGAGAAGCAAGACAAAAATGCTCGCATTAGGAAAACATGCGACAATAGTTATAATGTAAAAATATCAGTGTAAGTAGTTCGATTTAACAGTGAATGTCAGTGTGTAGTTCTTCTATTTAGCCACACGCACACCCGCTCTAAACCTAAAAAGAGTTAGATACTCCTAAATGTTTCATTAATGACTTTTTCTGTATTTCTGTTTTTCTCCTACAATTCTGCTGTGCAGACATTTTTTCTTATTTGGCAAAAAATCATTCTACAGTCTGGATGTAGCCCAACATCCATATGTGCAATAGTTTCGTAAAGAAACGTGTGATAGGATATGGAAACTCTTATAGAATGAAAATATCATGTCCTATTGAAGATATCGTATAAGCGTAAGAAAAATCAAAACTCTCATTGTTTGGAAAAAAGAATTATTTATAGTATCTACATTACGGATATTTCCTACGGTATCTCTCGGTATATCTCAAGTGATCAAAATGAAGACAATTTTTCAAACTAAAAAATGTACACTTTTGCACAGAAGTGTCTTGAGTAGGGAGGGTGTCGAGTAGGTGACTCCACAATCTTGAAAAGTTGTCGTTTTTCTCCAGTAAATTTCCAATGTTCTTGCTCATCGATTCTCAAACATCACTAGTAAACCTTCTCGATTGGTTTCTATGAAAGCTCAACAAATGGATGATATTTATTGATTCTAATCATGGTAATTACCATCATGTGAAAATCGTACAAAGGTCTTATAAGATCGTATTGACAATCAGATGTAGCAAGATTCATACTATGTGATCTTATACGGAATCATACAAACAGCTTAATGAAAGATTAAATACTTATTTAACTATAAGATGGTATTGTAAATCTTATTTGATTCTTATTATAAGATTATAATTTTAGATCTTACTTATACCAGTAGCTTTGTGCATTTAAATAAATATTTAAACGATTAAACATATTCTAATTCAGATGCTATATTTTATAGAATTGAAGATACATCTTCTATGTAATGGTATTGAGCTGCTAAAAATTACTCAACAGATGATTCCATCAATTTCGTTAGATAGAAGTTTTTTTTTATTTAAATAGTTTATTTTATTATTCTAATTCATTTTAATGATAAAATTCAATAAAAATTTTTTTTTGTATTCTAAGCACGTATTATTATTTTCATTTAGTCTTTGTAATTATTACAAATAAATATCTACATACTAGCGAAGATAATAGACTTTCTTAAGAAAACAAGATAATAGATGCTAAAAATAGAACAAAAACCAGGTATGCAACGTTGTAGGAAATCTTGGGAAATCATACATGAATCGTGCAAGATTTTATAAGAAAATTGTTTGACCTGAAAAAAGGAAAATTTTTGTATTGAGCAATAATCCTAAGTGAATTGACGCAAAAGGATGAAGAAAAATGTTGCATTGCATTTGAATTTAGTTCTATCATTTTTAAATTAAAAAAAATGTGACACTGGTGTCGCTAGTTATCAGTAGATCAATATATATGAATGGGGTGATAAAAAGTTCCAAATTATTGATTGAACTTAGAAAATAAAATCATCGATTTTACAAGAAATATTTCTGTAGATGATATATATGACAAAGTGGAGACAAAGACCTGAATTTTGATTGGTCAGAATGTTCTTTGTTCATTCTTTCTTAGTGGTGGTGTGTTCTAGAAATAAAATAGACTTGCACTTACTGACACTCAAAAATTGTCTGTAGAGGTCAATCTGTGGTAGTTTACTAGATAGCTTACGATTTGTGTATAAGAACGATAAATTTTTACGATGGCTACGCTCTTGGTATTGTTACTCAATAATGCATTATTTTTCTTATTTTTCTCTTTCCTATCTATTAGTTTTGCTTCATTTCATTCATACTTCTCCATATAGTACGTGTCTGTACATATAATCGATTACGATGCGTGATTGAAATTTCGCTGCATTTACTACGATATATGAGTCACTCCCGAGGCAAATATTTCACACTGAATGATGGAGAATATTTGAAATTTTATTTGAATATGTAATGTAGATTGAGTTCCTCAATTACATTATTTTATAAAATTAAAATTGGATAATAATATCTAGAAAAAGGTAAGAAAACAGAATTGGAGTATATTTTTGTTCTCATCAACTGTTAAAAGCATTTAATCTAATGAATTTTTTTCGTATATTTCCGCTTCTCAGCGAGGTCAATGCTAGTTAGTGTTACTAGTAAAACAGCTGCCGAAGTAATGCTTATTTTCCGGAAAAAGATTGGATGTAGTCTAATTATTTACATTGTATACTCGATGATTTCAACATCTAGTCTTTTTTTACATCTGTGTAAAAGAAAATCTTTTTTTTCTTGTTTTGGTGAAAGAAATGAGTTTAACTTGACTTAATTATTTTTTTCTTTTCTTTTTCAATATCGTTGTGTTTTTTTTAGATGACCAATGATAGATATAGATGGTCACGTACACGAGAGAGTGATTTTCGTTCTTTTCCGTCTGCTTGCCCTCTAGTACATCCTAAACGTAGCGGTCGTTCTTTGTCCATGTTGGTCACCGACGCTAACACATCGCTGCATACATGAACAGAAAAAAAAAGAAGAAGGAAACAATAGAGAAAGAAGTTCAACATGAAACGTTAATGTTTTTTATTGTTTTTAGATTTGTTTAAATAAACAAAGACAAAAAAACTAAGACAATGACAGACACACTAACTGATGATGATATTATTGAAGTTCGTTCATCGACGAATCGACCAACAACATCAAGTTCGAGTTCATCGATAACAACAACTCGTCGACCTATGTTTATTGAAACAGAAATACGAACTGATTCGGTAACAACACGTCGAATGGCATCGGCTGCTGCTAATAGAAGTGTACATGATGTACTTGAAAATACGAAATCACCTACTCAGTAAATTAGTTTTTGTTTTGATTAAATTTTTATTTACGTGAATCTTTTTTTTTTCAGTGATCGTCAGTCGACAAGTTATACATACGCTCATAGGTTAGTATTAAAACAGAAGAAATCTAATATATTAAATAGTAACTATCAAGCAGAGATAGAGCTGACCGTATGAGTTTATTACTGTTAACTTTATGCTTTTTATCGGATACACACTTTACTAATTGGCTTGATCTCACAGTGGAAAGCATTGCATGTAAGTGAGAATTTGTGCGTATTCTGTAGAAACAGCGATTACAGATAGAATTAGTGCCAACAGCTTCGTTATAACTTGGTGTCTGCTGTTAAAAACGTAATCTATTTCATTGGTTTATAGTCGTAATTACTACCTGAGATTAAGGTTGTAAGTTGATCGATTGAGCTCTGGCCGGAATACAAAAATAGATATAGAACTTTAAGAAAAGCTTTCAAAATCTCAAATCAGTTCTTGAAGTTGTTACCATCGAATTTCTATTGAACGAGTTCTCTATCATCATTTTTTCTCTTTAACTTCAAAATTCCTCGAAATGAAGAATTTTTTTTAAAAAGTAATCAAAAAATTTCATGCGCCGCTGCTGGAACTACAAATATTTGGTTTATACCTTCACTTGAGAATAGTATTGGAATGCCAAAAATGTCATGATTTTCAAATTATTGAAAACAATTCTCTGCTTCTTAAGATACTACAATACTCAAAATTAATTCATTTTTTAAGAATTTTTGTAACGTTTTTCTTTTGTTTTCTAGCAATGCATATGCACCTACATCACGACCAAGTACATACGATATTCCTGTAATGTCTCGACGTAGTTTACATGATGATGATCAAAGTCGTACAGCATCAGTATTTTCATTACCATCAGAATTGATCTCTACTGTTCGATCACAATTAAATAGTGGTTATGATAGTATTCGTCATGGTATATCTCATTTAACTGGCCATGAGCAAGAGTTAACATCAGGTTCACCAACACATGGTATCACTAGTAGTGGTACGAGATTTTCTCGTACATCGTCACAATCGTCAGAATCAGGTAGTCGAAAAACAGGTTATAATCTTCGTTCACGTCCTGTTCATTCAACACCACGTGATACTGATAATGAACAACAAACTAAACAACATAAAATAACAACAAAACATCGAAAAGATCATCAACAACAAGGAGAAATTGATGAAGAAGATGAAGATCATAATAAACATAAATGCTTAAAAAATATGAATTATTATTTACAAAAAATATTTCATTTATTTATTCATATGTTTGATACAATTTGGGAAACATTAAAAGTTCTACCATGGTGGTTACTTATTCCACTTCTTATTTTCCTTAGTCTTTATGCATGTAAGTCAACAAAAAAAAAAGTTTCATTTTATTATATTTTCTATTCTGGTTTTTTTCTTCATCTTAAGTACCTTATTTGGTTTGTAAACCACTCGAGCATTATCATCATTCAAACGTAAATCATATGTGTCGAAATATTCATGATTTCACAAGTAATTTAACACATAATACATATAATTTTACACGTCATCATACATATGATCGTGGTATTCGTAATTTTAAACAATTTTATCGTTCATCAAATGATATAAAAGATTCTGTATTAAATTCTTTAAATGATATATATTATTCAATAAAACAATCTTTACAAGGTTCAGTTCATGATGTTAAAAGTCGTGTTGGTGATGTTGTTGAAACAACAACTGATAATGCTAAAGAATATTATGATGCTGGTATACAAAAAGTTAATCATCTTATTGAAGAACTTAAACAGGAACGTGAAAAATATCTTGGAACGTAAGTTATATAAAAAGAAATATATTTATTTGAAGTTTATTTTGCTTTAGACGACATGCATTAAAACCTGATGAAGAAAAACAATTAGGAGAAGTAAATGAAAATTTTCTTAAGAAAAATATTTTAAAATTAAAATTTTTAATTTTAGTTGGTTCGAAAATTAATTGATGAATATGCTGCTGATGAAACTGGTCAAGCTGATTATGCACTTGAAGCCAATGGTAAATAAACCAAAAAAAAAAAAAACAACGAATATTTTTTTTTTTGTCTTTGTCCCTTAGGAGGAAAAATTGTTGATGTACGTTGTCACGAATATACAGATGAACCTCGAACAAATGTTGTTAAATTTCTCGGTATACCAATTGTTCATATGTCAAAACAACCGGAAATAATGATAAAAGTTTGTTATTTAATTTATTAATATATATATATATATAATAAAATTTTCTAGCATGGACGTATGCCTGGTCAATGTTTTCCATTTAAAGGTGATCATGGAAGTATTGTTATTCGATTAGCTGTACCTGTTATACCAACAGAATTTGTACTTGAACATTTGTCAAAAACTATTTCAATTGTTGGACATATAAATAGTGCACCAAATAATTTTACAATTTATGTAAATTAAAATAATGAAAATCTAAATATTGATTAATTCGATGAATTTTTGTTTTTAAGGCTTTGAAAGATAAACATGATAAAGAAGGTATTGTTCTTGGTCGATATTATTATGATGCTGAAAATGGTCCAACACTTCAACGATTTAAACCTCAAGTATGTATTTCATCTTTTTTTTGTAATGAAATCAAATTAGTTTTATTATATTCTAGATTTCTCATGTACCCGTTGTTGAATATATCGAAGTACAAGTGACATCTAATTGGGGTAATCCAACTTATACATGTATATATAGATTTCGTGTTCATGGTGACATGCAAAGTGTTGCACCCACTGCTGCCTAAAAAACACTAATGTTTTATTGTTTAAACTTTATTATATTTTCATCATTTCGATTGTTCATATTGAATAGATTCGTTTTGATGTGTATTGTATTATTAATCATTGTTCGTTTGTATAACATTTAAATAATACGCTTAGTTTTTTTTTTTTTTGTATGATTGTGTATTTAGAAAGCACATTAAGAAAAAAAAACATATGAAATATTATTTGAATATTCTTTTTTTCTGTTTCTGTCGTATATGTTTGTATTGTATTTCTTCAATCTCGCCTTTTTTTTGTTTTGTTTATAACTTGTGTTCATATGTGTGTATAATTGTTGGTGTGCTTCCTTTTTTCGTTTTTCTTTTTCGTCATCTAACATATATCTGAAAATAAAAAAATCGACGTTTTCTCAAATTACAGTAGTAGATGATTAATATTTTTTTTTGTGCTTATCTGAGAATCTGGTGAAAGATAGAAAATTGTGAAAGTTTGATAGAGCTTATTGACTAGTAAATGAGAATATTTGTAGTAAAAGAAGAGAGACAGGTATAGACAATATATTATTCATCATACTAAAGTACGATTCGATAAAACTGAATCTTTCATTTTCGCTTACTGTCGGATGGACGACGTCATCTTAACAATTAAGATGAACTGTGGTGAAGCGCTTTAGAAGTAGTCCGTGACGTGGGATTAAAAAATAAATCATGATGTGGTTGCTGTTGCTAATCAAAGCAAGATTGTTTTGTTCTATCTATTTTATGATATATTTCTTAATCATCGTTCCATTTAATTCTTCAAAGATGCAATAAGGAAATAGTTCATATATTAAAAGTTGACGTTATGTATAAACGATCTGTGATTACTTGTTGCTAAGAAATGTATCAAGTGTGTGAGGGGAGGAGAGGGGGGAGTTCCCAACTTCTATCCTGTACTTCAACACTCCTTTTTAATCATGTTCCACAAAAGTTATAGCTTAAAGACTGAAGTCTCTATTGTTTCCTCCTCAGACTATTCATTTGAAGCGTGTTTCACAATGATTTCGAAAGCAACAATTGAAGAATCCATTCCGAAAACTAGCATTTCATCTGGTCATCGTAAGCGTGCTAGGATTTCCAACAAATTCAAGCTTATGATACGGTAGTCTTGTGTTCTCGATGATGCAAAAGCGAAATAAAAAAAACACAAAGCCTCCGAAACTGGCTACAAGACTATCACCATATCTTCCTACAACGTTTGCATTCTTAAAAAGCTTGGAAAACTACGCCAATTTATGCTTGGGTGCGCCAAAAACAACATCAACATGGTAGTCATTGAAGAACACCGTTGGCAATTAAAGGGACAAGTTAGCAGAATTATGAAACGTTGAACGACTCAATATGGTGCTTCGAATACTCTTCAACGACAGCAGAAGAACAAGGCGGTACTGGACTGCTCATAAGTCCTAGGTTTGCCAAACTATTACAATAATCAGAAAAAAAAATCAAATCGTATCATAATATCACGCTTTTAATACTATCCATTAATAACCATCATAGTTACTTACACACCTACAGAAGATAAAAGCGACATAGAAAATGATACTTTTCACAAAAACCTGTGGCAATGTATCAGCCAAATCCTAACAACATGTTTTAATCCTAGCTGACTATCTGAACGCAAGATTAGAATCAGATAGTCATTAAATAAATCCATGAGTAGTCGGCGAATTCATGTATAGAGACACAACCTACGACAACGGCAACCAGTTTGTTAAGACTTCTTTCGCAAAAAGTCAGTTTTGACAGAATGATCGAAACTAAGATAAATACAGGAATAGATAGTTCGTGGTTTGATTTTTCAAGAATTGAAAAATATACTCTTTTCAAAAACAAAACAAAAAAAATCTTTTTTTGTTTTTTCTCTGTTTATGCTTTCTCATCGTGTGTCCCAGAATTCTTGAAGGAGCTTCATTGCAGCCAATACATCCATTTTTTGTTTGAAGAGCTGTCCAGATGCAGGACATGACAGAGTGCCTTTTTTCAATTAAGACTTATCACTATTATATAAATGAGTAGTTTTATAATTAGAGCCCCTTGTGAAGCAACTACAAGCTGCACTCCAAGGTGCCACAGTAGGTTTGGCACTTGATGAAGCTTCACCAAATATATTTTATTAAATGATGGACGAGAAGAAAGATGATACTTGACGAGAGAAGAAAAGCAGAAAACAAAGAACAATGTAGATAGATCAATAAACGGTTGACTGAAAGGTAGCAGTCAAGACGAAACTGAATGTTGAAGAGAAGATGTATATGATAGAAAATGAGTCAATGAGATAAAGATCAATGAAGAAGCTATGTGTGTTGAAAGATGAGAAGATGAATAGTAGTGAAGCTACTAACTAAGAGAGCGAATAATGAATAATGAATATATCAGAAGAGAGAGAAAAAACGCGCCAAAGGAGACAAAATAAAGAAAAGAGAATCATCAATGAAAGACAATAGAAGGAAGAGAGAGAGAGAGAACATAGGTGACGGCTAGTGCCGTTACACCCCTGTTTTTGAAAATTTATTTAGATGTTAGACTTTTCATTCCTTTTCTCCTTTTAAAAAGTAAGAATTTAAAACAAATATTCTACCATGTTTTTTCAAACAAAAAAAGCTTAAATCTATAGAATGAAGGCTCATCGAGAATTTTGGGTTAGCCAATGAGCTATTCTTGATCCTTGTTTGTTGAATACCTCACGAAAATGGCATGATATTGGACTGAAAATTTTATCATAACTTCTCCACTATAGGCATAACTTATTGTGAACATTTCATGAGATTTGAAAGGTCCTGGATGAAGAACATTTTTTGAGGGCGGGATCTTAATAGTTGTTACCTGCAAGCTTAGTCTGTTCGCAGTCGAATTATGCTTTTATTTATGAGTTGTCTTCATTTTGGCTGCTAATAATAATCACATAGGAGGAGAAGTTTACATAATACCTCTTAAATCACTGGCTGTTGAAAAGATTTAGTACACGTAATTGCAACGCATTTTGTCAGCTTCTGATGGTATTCTATCTACAAGCTCACATTGTTCTAAATGATATCCATTGCCTTCGGTATTTTTTTGTAGTAGTGAATTCTGTATAAATAGATGCATTTTGTTGATGATTCGCTTTTTTTCATCATTTGAGCCAGCGAAGCAGAGTTAAAAACCATCGGATCATTGACAACTTGGACAACTGTCAATATATGCCGTCCTATTCGCTTTTAATCTGTCTCATGCGTAAAATTTACACTCTGTCAATAGACTCTTTAAATTGTTTGTAGGTGATCTTGCACATTATTTACCAAAGCACTGGTTGTACTTCATCTTGATGAATTTTTTTTAAAGAAAATCACTTGATAATGACAAATTCGAAAGTCCTCTCATTCAAATTCTCTTTTATTGTTCAAATAACGAATTTTTCCTTGTTTTATTTATTCTTGTTGGCTTAATACCTCTTATCAATCATGAACATTTCAAAAGCAAGAAAAAAAAATTAACATATTATTGAAAAAATCAATTCATCATTATTTTTACTCTTATTATTATTATCATTATATATAAATAAAGTTATTGGCTTATTAAATTTAGATACCTTCGCTTTCAAAACAGTCTGCACATAAGTTGTTGATTGTTTCTGCACACGTTGGAAAATAACAATAAGCCGTGATTACGTGCAAAACGAAAGGCGAAAATCGTCTAGATACCTGCTCTCATATCTGATCACCTGCACATGTTTTGCTAATGTAAGAGGGGTGGCCAATATATTCTTTTTTTTTTCCTGTATACATCAATGAAGGATTGTTCTTCATGTGTAAGACGAGAAAAAAAGCGTTACCTACAGATTATTTTATGCGACTGCTTATTGTTTTCTACTAAAGTAAGAGAAGCAATCTATGCATCAGTGATCATTTATATAAGAGGATGATTATCGTATTTCTCTTCATTCTTTTTACTTTTTGCGTTCATTTGAACTTACAGCTAGTGAACTCACTCGCTCTTTTTTTTACTTCAATCATTTTTGGGCATTATTAAACCGTAACTGCGAATATACTATCTGTATTTAGAGTATGCTATTTAGACGATATCTATTCATGCAAAGGATCGTTGTCCTGATGAATAACGTAATTACACATTCTGTTCTATTTTTGTACTTGCAAATAGACAAGAAGATTAGTAGCTTGCGAATGAGTCAAGAGCATAGAAGGAGTTTCCTATTCTTTGAAACTTTTTGCACAATTCATCTTCGTGATTTGAACCTTGTGTTCAATTTTTGTACATCGATCTTATTTGTAAGCATACTGGTCGGTTCTTTTTGAAGCTTCGGTTCATGTAGCAGAATCGGCTGCAATTTCGTCTTAGAAATTTTCTGTGGTTGACATAATATTCTTTGCATAATATGATGAAATAAAATGAACGCATTTTTTTTCTTCAAGTAGTCTTAGCAGAAGTAGATATAGTAGTTCAGATTTGTTAGGTGCCCCAAAACAGCTTTTAATAGATTTGTATTTGATACGACATGATCAGACAATTTCCAGTAATAATAGTATAACGCAGGTTAAACAAAACTTTTTTAATTCAAACGTAGTAATTGTATTAAAATCTAAAACATATAGAACATATTGAGGTCGAAACTGCCATTTCTGGCCCTAATCCCCTAAAACATGACAGGAATGGAGTCAGTTCGATTTGTTGAAGGTCGGTACCAGCACTAGTCTGCACAGGTTAGATCTCACTGAACTAGCGATCTATCAGCGACTGATCAATCTGATATCTGAAACAACATCGCTCCTGATCATGATCGGTACCGTCTTCTTTTCAGAATAATATTATTTGATATGGCCAAGTTTTAAAAAAACTCATTACAAGTTCTCCATGAGTTACTACGAAAACCAATAGGAATTATGAGGGAGCTTATATTATATGAGTATTAAAACAAATAAGACCGATCTACCGGTACACAGCTGATGTAAAGGAAACAAGGAGGCTACTGGCAGACCAACGGG